GCCGTGGGTGAAAGGGCTGGGCTCTGCTCCCAAAGAGCTACTGGTGTCTCCTCCAAGCGTGTCCCCTCCCTGTCCCACTTCGACCACACCAACCGCAGCCTCCAGCTATCGAGCAACTCAAAAAAAGAAAAGAAAAATAAAAAAAGAAATAAATGTAAATAGGATGGGAGAGGGAGCACAACCTGCATCAACGGCAAACCAGCACCTGGCAATTAGAGCTAGAAAAATCCTCCGGCCCACGCGGTTTAGTCATCGCTCTGCCCTCCCCGACACGAAACGCCCAGGTATCGAGCGGAAAAAGCTGGAACAGCCTATTCCTTTTTAATCCAGTTTCCATCCTCTCCCCACAAACCGCTGGCTCAAACGCACAAGAGCCCCACGTTGTGCCACAGGCAAACGGACCCGGCTGGATGGGGCTGGGGGGATGCAGTGCCAAGTGATGCTCGGGCCCAAGCCACCTCTGGGACCTGTGGATCCACCTGTGGGACGGATCCTGCACCGGGTTGGAGAGCAGGAGAAGCACAGAAGCTTCTTCTAGCAATGCCAAGAGAAGGGAGAGAAATAAAAGGAGCAATTCTTTGAGTTCACCCCTCCCAGGAAAGGTGCAACAAGACCAAGAGCGGTGCCTGGTCGCCAGCCCAGGCATGAGGTTGAGGGTTTCATGGTGCAGGAGCCCCACGGACCAGCTCTGCTGCTGCATTTCCCTACAGGAGCGTTGATTGCCTTCCAGTAATTATGCAGCAGCATCTCACGGCCCACATCCATCCTTCCCCAAGGCCGTGGGTTACGTGCACCGTGATGGTTGGTGATTTCTTTGTGGTCCTGTTTTCCTGCGTGAGCAGCAGAAGATTTAAAGAGCGACGGAAGCAGGAGCTTGGTGGTATTCAGGGTTTTCCATTGGTACAGCCCTTGGTGTTTTCCTCCCCACGAGGTTTATAAACTCAGACCACATCCTCAAGCTTTGCTTCAAAACCAGGTAAAACAGTAGAGACCTGCAAAAAATATTCCAGCTCAGCAGCAAAGCTGGGACCGAGCTTCGTCCCGCAGCCCTTGGTCTCTTGTCCAGGTCTCCCTTTGCCCATAAGTCTCTAGAAGCGGCGAAAAAAAATATAGACAGGAGCTGAAACAGGCTGGACTGAGGCCATTCTGATTTTCTACTCCCCATCCCAGCTCCTAAAGGGCTCTAAAAGAACAGGGGAGAGTTTCACACCTTTGCTCTGGCTTCGGTGCAGCAGCTCAGCCTCAGATGCAGGGACCAGAGCAGGGTTCCATCCTCCAGCACATGGGGAAGAGGACCAGAAGGTCCCTTGGGCGAGAGCATCTGCCAACACACGAGGAGGGTGGTGGTGGTGGTGGTGGTCCCAAGCTCTCTGCAAGCTGGAGGAGCTGCAGATGAAGAGCGATTCCCCGGCATGGCCCTTCCTCTCCCCTGCAGTCACCAACGCACCACGGGGTGATTTCCTTCAGGTTCCATCACCAGGTCCAACACGATGGGGATCTGCTCCCATGGCCACCCTGAATGAAGGGAAAAGCAGAGCCAAGGAATGGAAAGCCTGGAGAAACCCAGGTCCTCAGGAGTACTCATGAAGAAGAGGGTCGGGGTGGTTTGCTCGGCCCCCAGGACAGAAGCCAGCAGAAGACGTGTCTTCTCAAAGGGACTGGCTCTTCTCCCTTCTCTCCTGAATCGAAAGGCAGAGTTTGAGGTGTTCAAACCTATATATTTTTGTATGTAAATATTCCTGCTATTCATTAGCAATGTATTCAGCACACTTCACTTACCTGTGCACTGCACTACGGGGAAGTAATTTTGGAGGGGTGGGGGGAATTTAACAAACAAAAAAAAAGGAAAAAAAAAAAAAAAAAAGAAGAAAAAAAAGCTAAAGGCCAGTCTGGTGGGGGATCAGAATTCCACACCAAGCAGGAAAACACCTCCCCGCCTGGATAACCCTGCTCCATGGCTTTGTCCCACCGCTCCAGCAGCATCGAGTTCAGCTTTGATGATGCAGAACGTTGAAGCAGCCTCAGCTTGAAGGTGTTGAGACCTCCTTGAGTGAGGGTGTTGCTCCCCAGCCACCCGGGGTCCCTCACCTCACGTTTCTGCCCTTTGTGGAGAACAAATCCATCAAAACCCCCGGGGCAGCAGTGAAGCTTCAGCTGCAGGGGTTGGTGTTGCCCCAAGGGTGCTCCCCCTCTTAGGGCAGAGCATCTCCAGGCACCGGGTTCGGCACGTGCCTCAGATCCCCCCTTCCCCCAGCCAAGAGATGCCAAAGTGCTTTAACAAATCAGGTCCAAAGACTTGCCAAGAGAACCCTACGAAGGCTTGAGATCAAGCAACCTTAAACCTTTCCGAGCAGAGACCGCTGAAGATCCCAACTGCTCAAGCAAGTGCTTATAGTGATTTATATTTGAATAGGAATTGTACATTTATTTATTTTTCCAGACACCATATTTTTAAACCACTAATATTTTATAGTAGATTTTCCTTCCCCTATTTAAAGAACTATTTCCACGGAAGAAAAAAAAAAAAAAAAACCAACAAAAAACCAAACCAAACAGTACGTTTTTTATGTTGAGAACATTCTTTTTTGGGAAATAATAAAAAAAAAAATAAATCAGGTAGGAAATGCAGCGATGAGCATCTTTGGCCTTAATCCTTCCCTTTGTAGATTGTAGCCATAATTGTTAGACCAAAAATAAATTTAACAGTACGTTTTTTATGTTGAGAACATTCTTTTTTGGGAAATAATAAAAAAAAAAATAAATCAGGTAGGAAATGCAGCGATGAGCATCTTTGGCCTTAATCCTTCCCTTTGTAGATTGTAGCCATAATTGTTAGACCAAAAATAAATTTAAAAAAATAAATAATAAAATAAAAATCTACCCAGGCATTTCCTCCCTCCCTGCCCTTCCTCCTCCCTTCCCCGCGGCCCCTCTTCTCTCCCACCCTCACCCCACCCCAAAAACCCAGCTTTAACATCCGCCACGTTGTACAAAGAGATTATTGCTCTTACCTTTTGGGTGGGAGCTTCACAAGCGGCTCGAGGTGTCCTCGTTGCCAGAGACTTTTCTATTTCCACAGCTCCAGGGAACATGTAAATATTTTTAGGCCCCCGTTTATCTCCCGCTCACGGTGCCACCACCCGGCCGAGGAGGTTGATACCGTGACCGTTGCCTACAGAAGACGTAGAGGAGAAGACAAGAACCCATGAGGAACCGCAGAAGGAGAACACCTCTTTGCGAAGGTGGCTTCCCGTTGAACCTTGCACATCTCACTAGAGCTCTTACGTACTGTAGAGAGGCATCTCCCACGGGGACAGGAGTCTGATTTACACTGGAATTTACCGAGGAACTGGATTGTAGAGATTATTCTTGCATTTTCCTACAAATATATTTTGAAAGCATCATGTATTTCTGTTCAATAAACGTTCTTATGTAAAAAGACTTGCTTCTTATCTGAAGGGGTTTGGTGCGGGGGGGAGCAAGAGGTTGCACTCAAGAGCCACCACCAGCTGAGATGTAGATGTTACAGCTGGGTAGGGTTTGAGCTTCTCTGGAAACCCAGCACAAGCTCTGCATGGTCCTGGTTAGCAAGAACACCTGAAATTATTGGAAAAGTGGAAATAAAACCAACCCAGGCTTCCAGAGGTAGCCACCCACGGAGGAGCTTGTATTTTTCCCCATGCAGAATCACAGAATCACAGGATCTTCTAGTGGAGGAGCTTGTATTTTTCCCCATACAGAATCACAGAATCTTCTAGGTTGGAAGGGACCTCAAAGATCATCTTGTCCAACCGTCAACCTAACTGACAAAAACAGACACCCACACAACAAACAAGAAGCATCACCATCACTAAACCATACCTCCCAGCACTACATCAACCTGTCTTTTGAACACCTCCAGGGATGGTGCCTCAACCACCTCCCTGGGCAGCCCATTCCAATGGCTGAGAACCCTTTCAGTGAAAAAATTTTTCCTAATATCCAGCCTGAACCTCCCCTGGCGCAACTTGAGGCCATTTCCTCTCGTCCTGTCGCCTGTGACTTGAGAGAAGAGACCGACCCCCACCTCTCTACACCCTCCTTTCAGGGAGTTGTAGAGAGCAATAAGGTCTCCCCTCAGCCTCCTCTTCTCCAGGCTGAATAACCCCAGACCCAACGCAAGAGTTCTCCAACAGGAGAAACAGGGCTGAAAAGACAGAAAATCTGAAGGCACTAAGTGTCCATTAAGATCTAACTCTTTAGTTAGGGCTGCACAAACACCTGAGCTGGCACAAGGGACAGTGAGCACGGGACGAGGATGGAGCAGGCAGGAGGAGAGGGCACAGAACCATTTCTTTGGGATGCAGCAATAACTTCAACAGTCATGGTGTCACAGCCCCAGCCTGCAGTTTAGCAACCCAGTCCATGTGAGGGGGGTCTGTCCCATAAAGAGGACTTTTGTCCAAGTGGATCAGCCACGCAATCAAATAAAAAAAATGAACACCCCCAAGTCAAAGTTCACTTTTAAATGCTGCAGCTGCAAAATTCCCAAAGCCAACACTCAAGCAGCAGTAGGAACATGCAGAAAAAACACCCCTTTTCAGACAGCTTACAGTCTGCAAGTTTCCCCAGGACCATTTATATGCTGGGAAAAAAAAATAATCCATACCTGTTCCACAGTGAGTGGTTTTGTAATAACCTACCAGGCAGTCAGTCACATCTACAATTCCTTGAAAAATGTTAAAAAAAAAAAAAAAAACCAACAAAAAACCAAACCAAACAGTACGTTTTTTATGTTGAGAACATTCTTTTTTGGGAAATAATAAAAAAAAAAATAAATCAGGTAGGAAATGCAGCGATGAGCATCTTTGGCCTTAATCCTTCCCTTTTATAGATTGTAGCCATAATTGCCATAATTGTTAGACCAAAAATAAATTTAAAAAAATAAATAATAAAATAAAAATCTACCCAGGCATTTCCTCCCTCCCTGCCCTTCCTCCTCCCT